AATATTATGTATTGGTTATGTTACGTTACTTTCCTCTAAAATACATGATAGATTTAAAAAGATATATCTTTATTGATTTCAGAGAAAGGAAGGGAAAGGGAGAGAGAGAGAGAGAAACATCAATGATGAGAGAGTCATTGATCGGCTGCCTCCTGAACACCCCCTACTGAGGATCGAGCCTGAAACCCAGGCATGTGCCCTGACCGGGAATCGAACCCCGATCGCCTGGATCCTAGGTCGATGCTTAACCGCTGAGCCACTCCAGCAGGGCATGATAGATTTCTTAAGTACTTTTTTCCCTGAATGAAGAGATTGTCATTTGAAGGAAATGAACAGAAAACTCTGTGTTTTTGTGTCTATAACAGGGAGTCTCTTATGAATTTATATGCTTAAGTAATACAGATGAAAATTGTATGTATAAGCCTTTCCCCCCTTTTGCTTAACTGCCAAGAAACCTGGAGCCACTGTAATCAGCTCATCTCAGGTGCCTGTTAACATCTAACCTGTGCTCCTGATGGTCTCGCTTGTGTTTTCGTCCCTAATTAGGTTTAGTTCTGTAAGCTGTAGCATATCCTTTTCGAAGTCAGTAGCTCACAAACGATATAAATTGAGTAAATCTGAAAACTATATTAACTTCACTAAGGTTTTATAGCTAATTTACAGTTGCTGACAGTGATAATGCATGATTGAATTAATGACAATCCTGTAACAAAAAAAACTAATGACATTTGTTTTGAGTATCTCCTTTAAACTATAATCATGGGAATTGTAGAGTGAGTTAAGCTTTAGACCTTATGTCTTTCTTTTCTTCCACTTTTATGACTCAGATAAAAAAATGTTTTTGTTCTGATGAAGAACTGGAAAGTTTTCTCTGCTGCATGTTTCTAAAAGTGGAAGTTAATGTTCTAAGATGTATGTACGCATTGCAATTATGAATATAGTGCAAAGCATAGAAAGCAAACTATATTAAATTTCAACATTCTGTTGTCCTGCATTCCAGTTGACTGTAGAGAACCTCTAGTCATGTGTATCTGTTTTTGATGCCTCTACAGAATAACTGCGCAGCATCCTCTGCCCAACCAATCTGAATGTAGGAAAATCTACAGATATGACGGAATCTACTGTGAATCTACCTACCAGAAGTATGTTGAAATCTTTGTGAGTCTTCCTTCTGGCTCGTGCATCAGTGCTTGTGGTTGCCAGCTATTAAAAAATATCTTTGTTATTGAAACCTTATATTTTTCTAATTTAGTGGGGGGAAAAAAACCCCAAAACCAAATCAAATAAAAACAACCAAAAAATTGTCTCTGAAGTCAAGACAGAAAAAAATGTGAATGCTTTTGAAATTGTGGTCTAAGAGTTTTTAAAAATGACTATATTAAAGCTCTTAGGTAAGCTTCTTTTTATTGCAATAAACAAATACTTATATGCAAGAAAATCTCAGCAAAATACATTGCACAGGTGCTGTGCATCTTAGGGATTTGAAAGGTGTGTTATGTATAAATTAGCTGTCACTTTTTTTCAATCCCGTAATGGAATGATGAGTTGTAATTTGCATAATCCTTTAAGAAGTCAAATTATACTGTCATGTAGCAGACTTAACATGCTAGCTAAGATTTCAGAGCTTTGCAGCTAATTACTATGTACCTTACAGGACAGTTAAATTGAAGTTGAGTCCTCTGTCTTTGCTACCATTTGCTTCGTCCATTACTTAACAGAATGTGCACTGTTTGTAACAAGGTGGTGTTACTCTCTCTGAAGTAAACACCGCTCTGGGAGGAAAGGCATTTTACTATATCATAGCTTGCCTTGTATTGCTTTTGCTAAGAAGAAAGTTTTAGTTTTTTGTTTTGTTTTTTAAAACAGTAGCTTAAATTGGAGTCTTCTTGAAAAGCATAACATTTATGCTTTTCAGAAAAGTTACGGAATATTAATTGAAGCAACATTAACCTGTACTTAATTAATTACATTACCCTATAAAAATATTCCATTGAAGCTGTTAGTCTTTCTAGCTATACTTTGCAGATATACTTTGGTGTGTTTTGTCCAGAAATTCTGAACTTCTTTTGCAGAAGAGTGTCATTATTGAAAAAAAGATACCCTTTTTCCTTAAAAATTCTTTCTGAATACAAGTTGGTGAATTCTACTTTCATTTTCTCCTCCAGTTGCTTACAGGGCATTTTCTTTCATGGTTTCCATTTTACAAACGACCAGGAAACCCTGGAGCCAGTGGAGGTTGCTCTCTGAAATGGACACAAAACAGATACTGAGGGGGCTGGTATCCCTGTATCTTTGCCACCGATTTGTCTCTCACTTTACTTCTTCATCTTCAGTTGCTAAGACAGTGTCATTCCCTCCATCAGAATTGGTGTAATTATAATGCAAAATTGTTTCTGGTTATTACTTAAAAAATTCTTCCTATCTGCGAGTCATATATTTTTTTAAATATATCTTTATTGATTTCAGAGAGAGGAAAGGAGAGGGAGAGAGAGAGAGATAGAAACATCAGTGATGAGAGACTCATTGATCGGCTGCCTCCTGCACGCCCCCGGCTGGGGATCGAGCCCGCAGCCCAGGCTTGACCTTGATCTCCTGAATTCTAGTCGATGCTCAACCGCTGAGCCAGGCCGGCCAGGCCTGTGAGTCACATTTATTGTGGCTCTTGGTGGTCAGGTTTCTGTAATTTTTAGTGATTTTGTGGCTTTGTTATGATTCACGGATACTTGGAAGAAGCCTTTTGTTGTATAAGGAGTCCCTTAAGGACCACCTTAAAGCAGCAGTTGATTATTGAACGTTCAGATAATTGGAGCCCCGCAACCTTGCTTGTTTGTAATCAAGCCAGTTTCACGTGTCTGAAATTACTCTCTGCTTAGAGGCTGAGATCTGTCTCTTTAAGGTCAGGCCCCGGATGAGGGCACCAGGAATCCAGCCTATGGGGCGAGGCTTTTCTTCTAACCGGAGGTATCATCTCCAGGGCTGGCTCTTTTAAAAATTGGTGTTATTTGTAGTCAAGGTAGACACAGTAGGCAGCACAGCTGTGACTGCCAGGTAAAGTCACTGGGGGGATATTCATAACAAGGAAATATTGGCAAATAAATGATGAAGAAGGGGAGGAAATCCCCAAGATGTTAAATTGGTGCACTGTCACTGCGATGATTAATGGTGGTGTGTATTTTAGTGAGGATGCTTATCTGGATTGTCTTGAAACTATAGTGTACATTTAATATCACCTATAAAAAAGCATGTGGTGCGTGAGCACACTGAGGAGAAAAGGCCATGGATTCAGGTTTTACTTTCCTGAGTGAGTATTTTCTCCAACTAAGTCTTTGNACTTTCCTGAGTATTTTCTCCAACTAAGTCTTTTGCTTCTGGTTATTAGAAAGCTCATTTTAATGTATGTTATATATAGAAGTATATATTGCATATAATATGTTTGCTATTAATCAGCATTTAGGTAGCTCCTTTCCCTAGAGGACTGAAAATGTTTTGTGAAAAAGTTAAGTATCTTTTCGACACTTTGGAGGGGTGACTAATGTTAATAGGGAAATGGGGATCACTGAGATTTGCCCGTTCATCCTAGGCCACCAGGCAGGGTTGGTCACAGGGCTCTATGTTGATCTTTCATCAGTGATGGGGTCAGTACTGCTTTTACAGAACTTCTCCATCAATGTCTGGTGAAGAGGAAGCTGTCTTGGAAGACCATTTAGTTTCCAGTGTCAAGCCATGAATATCCTGATTCTGAGTAATGTACTAGCTTTTGCCTTCAGGGGTCTTTTGTAAACAATGGGAGATTCATCTTTGGGTAAGCTATTTAACCTTCTTGGGCCTCAATAAGTATTACTAGACAAAGGAAGAGATAAAAATGAGTTTAGAGGCTGTCAGAGCACTGTTTTTTAATTTTGGGGTTCCTATCTAAATAGAGGGATATGAATCCAATTTAGTGGATCAAGTTCAGAATTTTTAAAATTAAATGGAAGAGAATAGAAAATTCTCTTATTAGTGCATTGCAGTTAGTAAGGGTGTGTTTTATCTTGTGAGGCTTTGGGTTTTGTTTTATGCATTTGTGCGCATGTACATAAAACTGCACATATGTGTGTTCATAGGGTGGGTCATGAGGCGAAATGTGTTTTTTACTGTTCTACATCCAAATAAAGATGGAAAGCCACTATAAAGAGAGTTGAGTAGGTAAACATAATAATATATAGCTGTTATGTCCTGTGTGTTAGGGCGCAGTGGCTCATAAAGAAAGAAATGGTCAGTTCTGTGGAAGGGTTCAGGAGTGAAAAGGCTACACCCTCTGGTCTCATATCCAGATGTGCTGGAGCCAACCTGGATGGGCACATTTTCCAGCCCTGATTCCTGACTGATGTTAGTAACTTGAAATTGGGGGAAGTATTTACACCATGGAAATTGAAAAACGCTGCAAACCAGGTGCCCTCCCACCCCAACTGGTTATCTGCTCATTCCTTTCAGCTATAATTCTACGGCTTTACAATTATTGTGAATTCTCACATCTTAAAACATTATATGTGGCGTTTAGATGTTTTGGGAATTATTAAAATAATTAAATCATTTTAATAATATTGAAAATTTAAAGTACAGAGGAATAAAAACCAAAAAAACCCTCTGATTATTTCAAAATGTCTATAATTTGAATATAAAATGATGGTAGTTACCCTAACTTCTCACATATGTGTTTTTGACATGACCAGTTAAAACTACAAATTATAACTGGTGATACTAAGTTTCTTGGCAAGGGGTAGGAATACAGTATTCCTACAAACACTAATCACATTGTAAATATTTTACAAAATTCATTGTTTTATGTTAAGCAATCATTTGCTAAGTACTGAAATTTTTAGATCCCTCTCTCCATTTTCAGCTGTCTTCATAGTTTGCGATAATATCTCTGGAATTTAGTGAACCATCTGTAATATAGTGGATTTGATTGGGAGATGCCAGAGTTATTTCCAATGAAAACAATTGTCAGTCATTCCCCC